AAGCCACCACTGCTTTCACAAAACTCAAGACAAGTTTCACTTCAGGACATATCCTGACCCTAACCTCCCATTTGTAGTGGAGGTGGATTCATCAGACTGTGGAATTGGGGCAGTACTGTCACAGCGTCATGGTCAACCAACTAAATTGTACCCGTGTGCATTCTTTTCAAGAAAACTCACTTCGGCCAAAAGAAACTATGATGTTGGTAATAAGGAGTTACTGTCCATGAAAGCTGCGATAGAGGAATGGAGACACTGGCTGGAGGGAGCCGTTCACCCGTTCCAGGTTATCACCGATCACAAGAATCTTGAGTATGTAAAAAGTGCCAAGAGACTAAACCCACGTCAGGCCAGATGGTCACTGTTCTTTTCCAGGTTTCAATTTACTGTCAGCTATCGGCCCAGGAAGTAAGAATTGCAAGGCAGACGCCCTCTCCAGGAGAGGAACTACAGGCAGTGGGGCAAGGATTCGTCCAACTGTCAAGAACCCCTGCCTTTAAAAATGTTGTTGGAGCAATAGATGGCACCCACATAAGGATCAAACCCCCAAAGCGGCACCAAATTGACTATTTGAACTACAAGGGCTTTTATTCCATTAACATGCAAGCAATATGTGACTCCAGTGGACGTTTCCTGGACATTTATGTTGGCTATCCGGGGTCAGTTCACGACACACGAATATTGAAAAACTGTTCATTTTATATGGCACAACGATATCCCCCTTCAGGGTACATTATTCTGGGTGATGGAGGCTATCCCTGTTTAGACACCCCAGTCTGCTTGATCACACCCTATAAAGAGCCAGTGAATAGAGAAGTCCAGGACCGCTTCAATTACTACCACTCAAGGGACCGTAGCATAATTGAAAGGGCTTTCGGCATGATGAAAATGAGATGGAGGTCTACACTTTTCAGAGCCCTGGAAGTCAAACCAACATTTGCACCCCAGGTCATTGCTTCCTGTGCCTTTTTGCACAATGTATGTTTGGACAATGGAGATATGCTTGAGCCAGATGCCAACATTTCAAGGAACAATTTTGACTTCCACCCTCCCCGTGAAGGCCTGACATCCAATGAAACCTCTGGGAATGCTACAAGGGATAGACTGGCTGCCCTAGTTTCAGGAATTGTGCAAGCCCCGTGAACATGATCCAGACATACAGGTGTACTCCAATTTATTTATTTATTTATTTATTTTTTATGTTTCCCATTTTAAAACTGTTTTCATATTAGTTAATTATTGGAGATGCTATTCCTACCTTTTTCTATCTGTGTGTGTTGTTTGCAATAAAGTGGTTTCATACATATCGCATGGTATTCTGTGTCTTTTCCATGTATGTTACTGATATTGAAACACCTTCTTTTAATAAACAGCAATATTGCTTTTTATTGCCTCAAATGTATAAACATCTGTATAGGGAGGTAGGATAATATCCAGTCACATCAAACTAAAATATTGTATTCGAACATATAAAAACTCGGTAAATAATCATAAAAAACAAAACATCATACAAAAAATTTAGTTAAAAGTATAAAAAAAAATTTAACAACACACCTATACAGTTATGCAAGGAAACTTGTTAACAATAGTGCAAATTTCAAAATTATGAACTGTAAGAATTTAGAAAAATTGAAACACACATGAAAGACAACTACAATTTGTCTATCATTTTTTTGAAGAGATTCAAAAACCTCTCAGTCTTGGCCTCGCTCTCTTCATGGCGATTCTGCTCCTTTTGGGACTCTTCCACTAAAAAATCCAAAACGGGATTACTTTTCCTCTTTTTTTTCTTTGGTGATGGAGTTGGGGGGCTTGCTATCACCATGATGGATGCTGCACTAGAAGAGGCTGTCTCTTCCGATGTATTTTGCAAAGATGAGAAGGCTCCTATGGTGCTGGCAGCAGTACTTCCACTGGGTTCAACAGTGTCCTAGGAGAACAAGACGATATACACATGTACAGTCCAGAAATGGGTAATAAGTCATATATGTCACTACAGTTCTTCTCAAAAACATGTACATTAACATCAAAACAACAATAATAAAATTCCTGACCACAGAAATAGCAGGATTATATGATATGCAGTGTATTTAAAACATTACTATGAGGATTGTTATGGGTTCCTCATCAGTGAATGATGCAACCACCACAGGAGGGTCCACAGAAGGCCTGGAACCCAACACCTTGTGCATTTCTTCAAAATACTGCCACGTAGAAGCTGTTACCTCTCCAGCATCTGTTCCAGAACAGGTTTTGGGAGTTTTTAGGTCCTGACAGAAGACACAAGCAGAATATTAATAATAATATAAAATAATTATTACTGTAAAATCTAGTTTAATGTAGACTATGAAAGTGACAAATATTAGAAGAAATTACTTCTTCTCAAAGTGTGCATTTTACAAGGATAATACAAAACATGTACCGAAATGACTGTCTAGATTGTTAAAGGTTTTCATAGCACCACACTGCTTACCTTATATTTTTTCTTTAAATTCTCCCACTTCTTTGATGCTTGTTGGCCAGTCACTTTTCCCTTCAAACCCAATTATTTTATTAGTGTCCTGTAACATTTAACCAAAATGAACAGTACTGAAGTGCACATATCTCACAGTAATCAGGCACAAGCACAACGTTTAACAGATTACTCACTCCCAAAGTTGTTTAGCATTGTATTTGGATTTCAGGAAACGCTGCTCGTTTTCAGCACGAAAACGTATGAGCCATCGGGTTTCCTCAGGCGTCCCTGGTTGATACAGAACATACAATGCTGATGGATAATGTTGCAATAAGCACGAAAACCGAAAGCACTGTTTGTTAACATCATATTCACGTATTCATGGACTTAAAAACAATGCATTGATCAGAAGTGTGGTAAAAGATAAGTTACCTGCCACCAGGCTAGTACTTATGCTGTCAAATCAGTGGGTATCAATAAAATATGTTGTGGAAATATCGCGCAGTCAATAATATTTATTATAGCGATTTTTTGCAAACATTTTTTCGGAGAATATAACCGTACATATGAACACAAGATTGAATGAAACATAAAACATGCTTGCTCGGGCAGCCATATTGCCGTGTGTGGGGAAATTTATCATACTCCTTCATTTGAAGTGAGGTCCGGAAAAATCTTAATTTGAAGGGCTATCTGGCCCTTCCCCTTACCCCTACCCCTCCAGCCAAAAGAGAATTGAGACACCCCTACCCCTTCACGTGAACGCGCGAAACGAAGGGGAAGGGGAAAGTGAAGGGGTAAGGGGTAGAACTGGGATTGGGCCTTAATGACTGCCTTAAAAAGATGATCAATTGCTTTATTCATGAATGAATCAGTATTTTGAATGAATTGGTTGCATGAATATGCATGTGTGTTTTATTCACATCTCACTTTTATTATCTGTGTGTTGTTGTTGTCTCAGTGTACTGGAAGTTTGTGACACTATAACAAATTCCTTGTATGTGCAAACATACTTGGCAATAAAGCTCTTTCTGATTCTGAATGACTCAAT